TCTCACGAAAAAAGCATTTTCTTAAAAATTCGTAGTTTTTTTTCCTTCAAATTTTTTCAGGGCCACAATTGATTAACTAACTACCCGGACTCTGAATTTCATGGTCATTGAAAAACTGTGACATTATCTTCTATAAGCCCAAACTTGAGTAAACATTGAAGATTTTTAGCGTTTTGGCTGAGTTTGTGCTTTGGGAGTTGTCTATTGTTTCTAGTCTGTCATGATACAGCATTCTTGTTCAGCACGCGTGCAATGACCACGTTTGGCTGACTTCCGAATGCTCAAGATCGGGGAAATATTTTGAATGAATAATAATTAGTCTCGCTTACGTAAGCAGTGAGACTTATAATCTGCAACGCGTTTTTCGCCCCGGGGCGTAGTCCCGTATATAGGCTATATGGGTATGTGCGGCGCCAAAGGGTGTTGTTTTTCAGCCGTTTCGGTCTGAAATAGGGTATCAATTTCCACCATTTTGGTCTGAAATAGGGTATCAATTTCCACCATTTTGGTCTGAAATAGGGTATGGTTTGTGCACTCTAGTCTTGTCTTTCAGAAGAATTAGCTACTTCTTCATCATTTGGCGATAAGACTATTTCCTTTTTAATGTTTACGCCAACTACTGTGTACGTGCCGTAACAGCTTGTAACGCGTTCCAGGCACGCGACGGGCTCCAGGGTTTCAGGTCTGAAATAGGGTAGGGAAAATCTCAGATTTTGGTCTGAAATAGGGGAAGGGTTTCAGGAAGGGTGTTGCACACCCCCACCCAATTTTTCTGGAAGTACCCCCCGGGCTTTTTGGTCGTATTTGGGACACAAAAAGCAGGTCATTGTGCCAGGCGTTCCTTGCGGACACCGTGGAAACTGGAACTAAAAGTCGTTGCGTGATCGAAGCCACGAATGTTTTGCGAAGAAAGCTCAGGAAAGATTAAATTTAAAGCTTTTCCGAAACGTGTCGGTCCACGAATTCTATCGTTTGAAAGCGTTGATTTCTTTGGAACAAGTAAACACTACTGAGTGGTCCAAAAAAAATAAGAATCTTAATTAGCAAAACTGCGATGGTCGGTTGATGTAAACTTTTATAGCCTGCGTGGCAGGTGTTTGAAAGGGAAGGGAAAGGGAGCTTTGGGAAAGGGAGTTTTAGGCGGGAGAGAAACGCGAGGGGCGCGCGAGGAAGGAGGGAGGGAAACGCCTGCCAGGAAACCATTGTTTTTCTCGTTTTTAACATCTACCAGGCGAATGTTAAAATCCTGATTGGTCAAAATTTGATAAGATCTAAATAGCTTGTTCTAATTGGTCACCTACATGTCATTCAGTAACTTGAGTGTTAGCATTCACAACTAAACATTTGTCGTTAGTGAAGCGTGTTGAGATTTCTCTACGGGAATTCATCGTTAGAAGGCATCAAGTTCAGATTCAAAGGAGAATACAAAAAAGCAGTTAAAGAACCGTATGAAGGAAAAGGCCTGTCAGCAGATGAGTTTTACTGACCGGTTCTAAAAAGTATTATCTCCAGACGGCTTGTCGGTTTTACTGGCCAGAAGAAAGAAACGAAAAATCATGCTGCCTGTGTGCTTGTTATCTGCTGTTTCACCCGCGTTATCAACGGCAAGATAATTGAAGACGAAGCGATCTATAACTTTTCAGTTGACTTTTGGCGATTTTCGGTCGAGGACTTCTTCTTGCCGGTTATAAAACCGCCAGGAACTTACTTTAATAGTAAAAATAAGTCTGGAAAAACAGTGCGAGGAATACGAGTAGAATGCATGCATCGCGGTCAGACGTATTTGACAGCTAGTCATTCACAGTTGCGTTATTTTTGTTATTTTTTCAATTTGTAGGCGGGATGGCGAAAACAATGGTTTCCTTGCAGGCGTTCCCCTCCACCCTCCTCTCTCGCGCGTGGTCTCGCGCCCTAATTCCCTTCCCCTTCCCTTTTGAACGCCTGCCACGCAGGCTAAAACTTTTATTGTATACAAATGGATCCTGTGATGAGCATGCGATTTTTTTTCGGCGATGATTGAAATGACGTGCCATGTAAATAACTTTTTGGATCTTTGGCAATGATGTAATTTCTCTGGAATCGAGATACTTGAATTTTCGTGTATTTATACACGCGTATAGCCTGCGACCGCAGACGTATTTCCGGTCTTCGCTAACACGTGTACTAAATCAATTCAGAAACAAGTAAAAAGAATCGACGTCGATAAAGTAGGAAGTAAAAAACATTTAGCGAGTAAATCCTGTTTCGCGTAGAATTAATCGCCTCCTCGTTTCTCGATCTAATCTCCAAGCAGAGCGAGACTGATTGGCGCTGTAAGCGCGTTCTTGTTCTCCATAAGTTACTCAGCTAATTGCTAATTGAGAGTTGTGTTTTTGTTGTTTTCTTACTGTTTCCTGGCAAGAAACAGAAAACAACACAGACACAACTCTTTAGGAGGTATGTATACTTAAATAGCTGTTTATGTACATTTTAACCGTTTTATCGATCTTACAATAACTTCCCATTCAAATCCTTATAATTTGGCTACCAGTGGGGTGTTGTGAGTCTGGGTGCCCTGTGCGTTTACGAACCCAGGCTTTTTCAGGCACGTGAGTCGATAAGCGCCTAGGACATCTACGCAGAAAACATGTCGCAGGTTTGTCCACATTGTCGTCTTGTTTTTCTCTTTTCATGCAGTGTTTTTTTCAACTTCTTTTGTTTTGTTTTGTTATGTGTTGCAGGATAGTGAACTTTCTTACGCTCATCGAGATGGGCGGTTATTGGAGTTGATCGACGAAGCCTGGCAGAAGGACAAGTTGCCCAACGATGGTAGAAAGTTACATTTAATAGTGTCTAGCATTTTATAAACGTAGAAAATTGAAGCTTAACATGTATGCTTTCAAGGAAATGTCTTCATTCATATAGGGGTTTATCATTATTGTTAGTTACCCTACATTTTGTGAGAACTAACCGTTTAAAAAGGTCAGCTGTGGGATCGCGCTCGTGAAAAGCAACAAAAGTTTTGATCCGGGGCTGGCAGCTACATTTGTCTGACTAGCAGTGATTGAGTAGATATTATTATACAAAGGGTAGGGTTAACCTGCGTCGCCGACAGTCTAAATCCCTGATATAGAGTCAAAGACTACATCAATTTCTCTATCCGGGTCTCGAGTGACAAGTCCGCGTGCAATGCAGGCTAGGTAGGGTATGAGGGTGCCAAGGGGATATATCGGTGCCTTAAGTCAATTAGCAGTTGAAAAAACACCCTGCTAAGTCGATATTTAAGGAGTGGCTTTGTCAGTTGAATTCCAGGGTCTCCATTATAAAGACCTGTTGTCATATATTTAAGCTATCTAAGATGTGGCAACTGAGAGGTGACCTCCTATTAGGATAGTTTGTGTTACCATTTACCTGGTGCTTACAAAAGGAAAGAATTGTCGCGAATCTGTTAACTCCATTGATGCCCGCATTAATGCATGGTTGCTATTCTCCTGGGACCACTTGCATAAAAGTTCGTGTCCAATGTAGCTGCTAATGTCTAGCTTTAAAATTAAGGTTTTGATTGGACTGTCCGCCGTGTTATTTATGCACCTGCCCCACGTTATGTCTGTAAAACAAAGATGTAATGTGGGCAGACAGAGAAATGTCACTTTATAATATTATTTTCAGAGATTTCTGTTCCTGAATTTGAACTTCCACCGGTTGATGACAGTGACCGTAAGTATTTCTGTTGACTTACTTTTGCATTCTGTTTTTTGAGTGAAATTATTAGTGGAAAATTCACGTGTTTCTGAGCATGTAGGTGAACAGAAAAAAAAAGTTGTGACCTGTACTATGTAGGTACCATTTAGGGGTACTGGTTACAGCATAGGTTCAAAGGTGTCTCATGTGCAAGTGCTATACCAGTAGTGCATTCTAGTTAAAATGCAGAGACCTAAAACCCTTTACCAAATTAACGTTTATTGAACTGGCAATTGTAATAACTGAAAAAATGTGTTGAAACCTTGAACTGTCAATTATGTTTTATTTTTTCAAAGTGAGCCAGAAAATTCCAATTTGGTCTGGAAAGTACCTCTGATTACATGAAACCACAGCCAGTTTATGGGTTATTGGAACTGTTCAGTTTTATCCTCTCTAACCAAAGTTAGTTTTTATGATGCAATGGGTGTCGACTCATTGCCAGTTGTATTGGACATGTCATTTTATTGTGTAAGGAAGGGGATATTGGATGTGAGTTGTGTGACATATGCCTCCCTCTGCATCTTATTGCCCTACACTTACAAATAGTGCCCTCACGGGTTTATTTCAGGAGAAATTTGGTATTTTTAGTTTACAAAAATTTGAAACAATAAATTTTGCCTTCAACTTATAGACAATGGAATAACAGACTCACTAAAAGAACAGGAACAAAAGTGGACAGATCTTGGAATTCAACAGCTACAAGAATCACAGCAAAACAGTGGAAACTAGAGCAGCAAATAAGCTGCTACATTGTATATAAAACTTGCAAAGAGAGGAGATCTGTGTTTCCTGAGGAAGTGGCCAGTAAAAGTCTTTTTTCCTTTTCTTTCACCCAACACATCTGGCAAAGAAACAATATTAGATTACAGGGTTTGTACAGATTTTTGTGTCCAAAATTCAAGACTTTTTCCAGATTTTTTTCTAAAACGATAACTTCTTTTTCCAGACTCAAGATTATCATATAGAGACCTTAAACAACACAGGAACAGAGCTTTTTTTATGGCACGTTCCGAACATGAGGGTGAGATTGAAGAAGATTTCACCAAAAGGAAAAAACTTCACTTCTAAACCACTTGTTGTTTTTTTTTTAAACAAAAAAACCTCAAGATTTTGAACCATTTTTCCAGACTTTATCGCCATTATGCTGATGAGGTGATATTCAGTAAAGAAATATCAAAAAGTGTCAAATGTTGTTAAAAAAACACAAACTTTTCGGGTTTATGACCCTTCTTCAGGTCTGGAAAATTGCTGGGCAAATTTCAAGACTTTTTCAGGAATTC